CTTTTCTTGGTGAGCCCTAAAGCTAGGGCAGCTGCAGGGTATCTATTGGAGACAATTACTTTTTCTGAGCTTCAGAGGGGTGGATGTTGGCGTCTTCAACCTATGAAGAAGCTTCCTATTGGGGCAGATAAGACTAAGCAGTATTGGGGGAGACATCCGGGTGCCCCGTCCTTCACTTTGCTCACTGGACATAAAGGTTTCTCGATAAAAATTAATAAAGGCTTCAAGACTGATTACAAGCCGGAAGACTTTGCAGAAGTGGAGCGTATCGACTACAACCCTAGTGACACACTGTCAGAGACTAAACCTGCAATGTATATCCCGAGAGCACCTAATAACCAAGCCTTTGACGCATGGTTCTATGAGCCCCAGTCGCCAGAACATCGTACAGTGCTCATTCAAGCAACTGTCCAGATAGCTCCTTACGAAATTAAAACTGGAGTGTTGGATTGGTTTGGGTCAGATGAACCTCTCAACCTTATTGTTTTGTTGGATGATTATAGTGGACACAGAATATTCACATCAGTACAGGGTGCTAGTAAGATAGGATCAGTGTATAGTATGGTGTATAATTAAAGTTCTGTTTGTGTGTATTTTGACTGAGTTTATTACTAAGAGCAAACAATCCACTCCTTTTTATACTATAAATTTCATTTGTTTATGACACAGATATGAGGTTATGAGGGAACACAACCACCACACACTCCATAAAATGCCATGGCACACACTCATTCACCACGATCCCCTTGACATATCCTGGGATCGGGGAGGATAGCTTCCAGTTACATGCTTGGTTGTAGGGCTTGCCTACTGAGCATGCAGAGGCGCCTAGAGCGTGTACGACGAAGAATGGATGGTTCCCGAGGAGAGAGATGAAGCGCTGGCCGACTGTTCCCGTCGCGCCTAGGACGCCGACTTTTAACTTGCGCCCGTCGAGCATGGTGGGTGCAGAAGAACCTGCTTGCAGGATGGCGGTGACAGTGAGTGTATGCGTGGGGTGACGTGATGAGTGTCATGTGATGTAACTCGGTTTGTACCTGTTTTTCGCGTCTCCTTTTTTACTAGTGTGATGAGAGTGTGGCAAGTACATTGCATATATGTAACGCTATCCATGGTGTTCAATCACTCCTTCAGCTTAGTGTCCCACCATCAGGATTACTATACACTTTATGTATATAGGTGACTGTAATGCGTGGTTGCATTGTTAAGTAAGCATCACAGATATTGTAAGTAATGGTCAAGTCGTTGTATATAATCACACCAATGATGCAACAATAATCTACATTTTTGTAGCTAACTGAGGCCTTTTCTTTATCCCTGGTTACTGATTTTGAGGTAAGTAATGTATAATGGGTGACCTGTTGCTATATCTGACCTATTTACTGTAACCCTATACGGTTGATTGCCAGTTGCCTATATAAATGAGCATACGGTACTGGTGTCTCTACCAACCCAAGTGCCATGTCGCACCTGTCTACCCATCTCCCCGACGTGGAATTGGTCAAACCAGGGAACTCCTACTCTGGATCTTTGGCCGTACTGTACAACGAAACCTGGAGAACGCAAGACCCATATGCAGTGTTCACATTGCTTGACGTTGTTCGTGATAGACCAGAGATTCGTGCAGATGTGGAGACTGCAGACAAAGTGTGTGCGTTACAATGGCTCGTTAATGAGGAGGCGCCAGACTACCTTTGCTCTCCCTTTGAATGCTGTGAAGTCATTGTGCAACAGGTGTATTTGGATTGTTAGTGTGGATCTGGTCGTACTTTGGCCGGGGTTGGGGCGAACAAACAGGCTACAAACCGGATCCGACGATGGGGGATACGTTGATTTTTCCTCCACACAATCCCTTCATAGGCTTGAATGTTGTATCGGCCGAGCAGGCACTGAAAATGGGCGTTGCTACCACAGGAACACCTGGCAACAGTGAGAGAATTGCTTCATTGTTGTTTTTTCATTACACTAATTGGCAACTCAGGCGTTGCTATCACAGGAACTCCTGGCACCAGTGAGAGAATCGTTTCATTGTCGTTTTGGCATTGTACTAATCGGCAACTCAGGCAAAAGCTTGTTTCTTTTGTATGTGCTTGCATTACACCTTCTCACACGACAAACAACTGTTTTTCATTGTTGCAAGGGCAAGTTCTTGATTTTTGACAAGGCCAGAGTACATAAATCCGAGAAGATGGAGCCGGACCTCTCATTCCTGCCTGAACATACGTGGTTCCTGGTAGATTGCAATCAGTACGTCAGTTCTCCACCACAAGTGTTTTTCAATGTGTGCAAGTGGTATTGTTGAAAGATTATCTTGGCAGTGTCTCTTCGAGAACGTTGATTTACCCTCTGGAAGTCTAAAGAGATGAGGGTGAAATCCATATGGTATGACTTGTTTGATTTCTGTGAAATTCTTGAGATGTAAGTCATTACGCTCAGCCAATCTGAAATGATTACACGTTATTAACGATTCCAATAGACGATCTGTTCAGCTGGCACCAATGCTGGAACTTAAACTACAGAGCTTTTGCAATGGCTACGGTCCAATTGCCCATCCAGCTTTCACGCTTGCTGATGATTCAGACCAACACAAGACGAACATTAGAGATAATCTGTCCAACGTTGGTCAGAAGGAACTTCAGGGTATAATTTCCAACCTAAGTACAGGCTTTTTTGACACCAAATTCTCTCACAACACAATTGTTGCAAGGCCTATGGATGACGACCGTACTAAGTACTCTTGCAACTTTGCCTCAAATAAGGTAGCACAAATTGTGATCGAGCACTTCAAACATGTAGAACACATACATGCTCTCGAACTCTACTGCCTTTTCTTGGTGAGCCCTAAAGCTAGGGCAGCTGCAGGGTATCTATTGGAGACAATTACTTTTTCTGAGCTTCAGAGGGGTGGATGTTGGCGTCTTCAACCTATGAAGAAGCTTCCTATTGGGGCAGATAAGACTAAGCAGTATTGGGGGAGACATCCGGGTGCCCCGTCCTTCACTTTGCTCACTGGACATAAAGGTTTCTCGATAAAAATTAATAAAGGCTTCAAGACTGATTACAAGCCGGAAGACTTTGCAGAAGTGGAGCGTATCGACTACAACCCTAGTGACACACTGTCAGAGACTAAACCTGCAATGTATATCCCGAGAGCACCTAATAACCAAGCCTTTGACGCATGGTTCTATGAGCCCCAGTCGCCAGAACATCGTACAGTGCTCATTCAAGCAACTGTCCAGATAGCTCCTTACGAAATTAAAACTGGAGTGTTGGATTGGTTTGGGTCAGATGAACCTCTCAACCTTATTGTTTTGTTGGATGATTATAGTGGACACAGAATATTCACATCAGTACAGGGTGCTAGTAAGATAGGATCAGTGTATAGTATGGTGTATAATTAAAGTTCTGTTTGTGTGTATTTTGACTGAGTTTATTACTAAGAGCAAACAATCCACTCCTTTTTATACTATAAATTTCATTTGTTTATGACACAGATATGAGGTTATGAGGGAACACAACCACCACACACTCCATAAAATGCCATGGCACACACTCATTCACCACGATCCCCTTGACATATCCTGGGATCGGGGAGGATAGCTTCCAGTTACATGCTTGGTTGTAGGGCTTGCCTACTGAGCATGCAGAGGCGCCTAGAGCGTGTACGACGAAGAATGGATGGTTCCCGAGGAGAGAGATGAAGCGCTGGCCGACTGTTCCCGTCGCGCCTAGGACGCCGACTTTTAACTTGCGCCCGTCGAGCAT